TATAAAATGACTTAGACTATGAAAGGATCCTCAACAAGCATGCAAAACAACTCAAGACTGCATAGGAACTTGCACCTACAACAGTTCTCAACATCACAAGGTAAGTGCAGCAACTGTGGAATCAGAATAAAGAGCATTACTAAGCAGCAACACAAGAATGTCCTCAGATACTGCTTCAAGCAACACGCTTTCTGTAACTACAGCTGTTGGTTTCTGAACAATTTTAATATACAAATTTTCTTGTTCCTTGGTCTGAATTCTACACTACCAGTCACTATTAAAAGTGGAGGAGAGGAGAACAACTCAGACTAAAAGAGGCTCAATAAAGAAAAAGAAATAAAAATCTTCCTTCAGTCAGGCTAAATAAAGCATAACACAAAGAACTCCACACATGCAAAAAGACACAGCTGTCTGTAGCAGTTCCAGCAGTCAACCGTCTTCCTTTACATGTTGGTCAGTGCTCAGTGACCTCCTCTGACCCTCAAAACCCAGGATCCTAGAACTCTGAAAAAGTCTACATTTCTCCTCAGCACTGTTTTTATGCGCTTTACCTGAAAAGTAAACTCTGTGTTTCTTCTAGAAAATAAATCTGGAAATCATCTATTCTGACCTCTACCTGTAATTGCTTTGGCACTAAAACCACAATCCATGACACAAATCTAAGATCATTAACACTGAAAGACTGATAGACTTTATTTTTAAATGCATGAGTTTAAAATATAATTTTAAATATATTCACTATCATACTAATTGTCAAATGTATACCATCTGGATGAATTCTATCTGGTCCCAATTACATTATTTTTTGCTACATTTATTTATTTATTTATTATGTGGACACACACGCACTTGGGTGAAAATCAGAAGACAACTTGCAGGAGTTGGGTCTCTCCTTCCATGTGGATCCTGACTCAAACTGAAGTTGTGAGACTTGGCAAGCATCTCACCAGCCCTACATTATCTTATAGATGCTACATGAGCCAAAGTAACTTCCTAAAAAGTGAAAGAAATTTTGAGGACTGTTCAAGGGAAAGGGGAAAAGGTGAATTATGCTAACCCATTAACAGGTATCAGAAATAAAGAAAAATATTTCACTAGGTGTTTCGGCCTCAGGAAAAGAATAGGTATTTTTTACCAAACCACATTTAGAAGTTAAATAACACTACACCTTGAAAGTACACTACTGAGTCTTCCTACATTTATCAACTGAGTCACTGGTGAACTCTCACACTTAATACTGAGAAGGTACACAGATGAATTAAAACTGCTAAAGTACTTTTTAGTAGTATGACAAACTCATCAGAGCAACATTAAAGCTCATTTGTTTTAGAGAATGAAATGGGAATAATCAATTTCACTGGATTATTAGCTTTTAATTATTTAAAACTTGAGAAAAATTAAGTGTATCCATGTGTGTTCTGTATGTAGTGGGGTACGTGTGTGTGGTGTGTATGTTGTAGGGTATGTGTGTATATATACTGTCTGTAGTGGGGTGTATGTGTATATACTGTGTATGTAATGGATTAATGTATACTACCACATAATTATAATCCTATATAGAAATGATCAAGATGCTGTACCAGAATTGTGGTAGTCAAGCTATATAACTATGGATTAGAAAATTAATCCATTTCTCCTTTAAGAGCTCTGATAGTCTTCTAATTCCTGTAATACCCTTTTCCTTCTCCACATACACGCAACATAATGGAAACAAACATGGTATAAAGAAAAAGCTGTCTCTCCCAAGTTTTCTGTCATTAACAGTATATCCTTGGGGTTGGAAACATGGCTGTGTAGTTACGACCACTGGCTGCTTTTGCAGAGGACTCAAGTTCAAATACCAGCACCCACATGGCAGCTAACAACTGTCTGTAACTCCAGTTCTAGGGAATCTGACACCCTCTTCTGTCCTCCGTGGGCACTGCACAACACGGGTGCACTTACATACATGCAGACAATACTCTCATAAAAATAAATTTTTAAAAAAAGTATATCCTTAAAAATATTTCCCTTCCTTTCCAAATGAAGTACAAAATGCTGCGGTCTTAAACACTATTGGTAGCTACATGGATGAATTTCGGTCATCACCTATATAGGGATAAGAATTAATCTGTCATGAAGAAAAAGAAAAAAGGGGGTAGTGGTGGCACACACACATCTAATCTCAGCACTCAGGAGGCAGAAGCAGGAAGGTCAAATTCTAGGCCAGCCTGAGCTACACAGTGAAATTCTGAAAAGACCCTGAGAAAGAGAATAAGGAAGAGAAGGAGGAAGAGAAGACAGTGATAAAGGGGGAAGGAGAAAATAGTTTGTCTTTTCTCCAGTTTTCTTCGTAGTGACCACTGAAAGCACCAAAATCTAACATGATCCACAAAGCAGCGACCTCACAAACACCTCAGCACCCCTGAGATTTACAAACTATCAGCAAAGAAAATCCCTCTTCTCAAAAATTACCCCAGAAAGGGGCTGGAAAGATGGTTCCACAGTTAAGAGCAGTGACTGCTCTTGCAGAGGATCTGGGTTCCATTCCCAGTACTCACATGGTGGCTAACAATCATCCATAACTCGAGTTCAAAGGGACCTACACTCTCTTCTGACTTCCAAGGGTACTGTATGACATGAGCATACTTACACATATAGAGGTAATACACTCATACACACAAAATAAAATATTTTTAAAAATTACCCCAGAAATTCTCAACAACCAAATTCTTTGATCAGATTACTGCATACAGAGCCTCTGAGACTTCTGGATTTCCAACTCTTTTCCTACCACCATGCTTTTGGATGCCTTATTAAGAGCATCTGGGGCCAGGGAGATGACTCAGGGGGTAAAAGCACTTGTTGCCAAGCCTACTGACCCAGAGTGTGATTCCCCGGGACCCACAGGTTCTTTGACCTTTACATGGGTAGGCGCTCATGCTCACAGCTAAATAATTTTTTTGAAAGAAGCACCAGCTCACTTCAACAAATACCCCTTAAATATCACTTGAAAAATACATATACATTTGTATTTTCAAAACACCTAACTCCAGGCTAGAGAGATAGCTCAGCAGTTAAGAGTACTGGCTGCTCTTGCAGAGGACCCAGGTTTAAATCCCAACACCCACATGGCAGCTCACAACCATCTGTAACTCTAGTTCCAGGGACTCCAACACGCTCTTCTGACTTCTGCAGGCACTACACAACACAGGTGCACCTACCTATATGCAGGCAATATACTGACACACATAAAATAAGTATTTTATAAAAGCACCAAACCCTAAGATTTCACTGTACTACTTACGTCACCTTTACAGTCTAACAAATTTTTCATTTCTCTATAAACAATGGCTTCATCTTTAATCTTTGTCTGAAAATAAGGCTGATATCAAATTAAAAAAACATACAAACATCCCATTTTCTCCAAATTCTACTTTATTACATAAGAAGAATCTGTTCTGTTTTACAAACAGGTTAAAAGCACACCAATATACTTGGAAAAAATATTTTTAATGTATTAAAAGAGTATTTAGAGGTGGGAGCTAGAGAGTTGGCTCAGCAGTTAAGAGCACTGACTACGGGGTTGGGGATTTAGCTCAGTGGTAAGCCTAGCAAGTGCAAGGCCCTGAGTTCGGTCCTCAGCTCTGGAGAAAGATGGCTCAGCAGTTAAGAGCACTGACTGCTCTTGCAGAGGACCAGGTTCGATTCCCAGCACCCACATGGTGGCTACGAACCGTCCTTAACTCCACAGTTCCAGGGGAATCTAAAGCCCTCTTCTGACCTCTGCAGCACTGCATGACATGGGTGCACTTACATGCATGCAGGCAATACACTCATACACATAAAATAAAAAAAATAAAATATTAAAAAAGAAAGCACGCGAGAAGGTTAAACATGAGCAAAGTTAGTTTTTTTTAAAAAAAAAAGTATTTAGAGGCTATCTTGGATTTTGATCCAATATTAGTTACTTCATTTCAGGTTCATGTTCACACAGTTATATACTCTTAACTATAACAATATTTTGAATAAAGAAATCTAAACAGTATGTAGTAAGACTGGGACATGGTAAATGAAGAGCAATGTGAGGGAAGTTCAGGGTTGTAATGGAATTTTCATGGCACTGAGTCTCCTTTCTCTTAAGAAAATAAACCTTCAGAGGGCTAGGGATGTAGTTCAATAGTAGAGTGCTTGCCTAGCATGAGCAAGGCCGGGTTTGATCTCTAGGACAGTAAAAAAAAAAACAGAACTGAACAGAAAGTAAAACCTTCACCGCAGATATATTTAGCAAAGTAGAAATGAGTCATTCAACACATTTTTAATTTAGTATAGATGTATTAAGTATTTCAGAATGTAATATAAAAGATAGTATTACAAAATGACTAGGCATGTGAGAGTTCTAAGATCAATAAGATTTTTTAAATCTCATCTTAAGTGATACTACTTATTAAATCTTCATTCCTTCTTCTCTATTATTAAAAAAAAATGGAGAAGAAAAACAACTATAAACATGGCTGCTTTATAACTGCTGTAAAAAACAAAACTATTTACCAGCACTGTACTTTAAGAACAAACCTAGGAGCTGGAGAGATAGCTTAGTGGTTAAGGGCACTGGCTGTTCTTGTAGGACTTGGGTTCAGTTCCCAGCACCCATACAGTGGCTAACAACCATCTGTAACCCAGTTCCACGGAATTCGACACCCTCTTCTGGCCTCTGTGGGCACTGTATGACAGGGTGCACTTACATGCAAGTATTACACTCACACATAAAATAAAAATTAAAAGAACAAATCTAACTTTCCATATTCAATTCTACTTGATAAGGGAACCTTAAAATCGTCTCTTTCTTCCCTCAACAGGGAGGGGGTGTTTAATAGTGGAGGAGACCAGGAAAAAGAGATGGAGCGCTTTCTTGTACATTACACAGAAACTTACCCGCTTGAAGGATCTAAGGCAATAGCTCTAGGTTGATCCAACTCTTGCCAAAATAAAACTTTTCGTAAAGATCCATCTAAATTGGAAACTTCAATCCGATTAGTTTCAGAATCTGTCCAGTACAATTTTTCTCCAAGCCAATCACATGCCAGCCCATCGGGGGACAATAATCCAGAAACAACAACATTCTGTACACTCTCGGTTTTGTTAAATTCAGTTCGCTTAATGGCTTCTTCACTGACATCACTCCAGTATATCAAGCCATGACCAAACACAAAGTCCACCGCAGCAGCGTCCTCCAAGCCTCCAACTACAATCGTAGCGTTCTCTTTGCCATTTGTAGCATCAACCAATCTCAAGTCCCGTCTGTTTGCATAAAGCAACAAAGGGGCCGCTGAAACAAAAAGAAAAGTATGTAAGGACAAAGAAAACGTATCAGATCTTACAAATTGGGTTTCAAATCAGCATTAGTGGCAAAATACTACCAAAAATAAGGAAATGGGAAATACGGGGCTGGAGAGATGGCTCAGCAGTTAGTAGCCTACTGCTCTTGCAGAAGATCAGTGTTCAGTTCCCAGAACCCACATCAGGCAACTCACAACTGTCTGTAACTCTGGCTCCAGGGGGATCCAACACTCTTTAGCCTCTAAGGGTACCCACACATGTGGTGCACATAAACTCACATGGGTGTGTGTGTGTGTGTGTGTGTGTATATATGTATGTATATATATATATATATATATATATATATACACACACATAACACTTGTTCACATCTTCTGCTCACTTAAAACTCAGATTGTCTTTTTCTTATAAATTCGAAAAAAAACTCTTTAAAAAAAGAGTATACTGTCCAAAATCTTTCCACACTTAAAATTTTTTCCAGCATTTAAAAAAAAAGAACACAATGAGAAGTGGAATTAATCACATCAGGATAGACTTTTCTTATTAAAACAGTATGTCAGATAAAGTTTAAGTGCTTATCTACCTTTTAAAAAAAGACCAACTGGACACTCTTACTCTACTGGTGTGACTGTAAAATGATATGGTCACATGGGAAAACAGTTGGCAGGTATTTGGTTAGCTGTCTGCAGTGCTGGAGATCAAATCCAGAACCTCTAGCATGCCAGGCAAGCACTCCACCAATTAATGACATCCTCAGCCACAATTGACAGCTTATTAAGGGTTAAACACAACCTACCTTATAATCTGACCTTTTATTCACAAGAAATAAATATATATGTCAATACAAAGACTTCCACATAACTATCGATAGTGATTTGTAATAAAAAACTAGAATCAATCTAAATATGATGAAATAATAAATAAACAGTTAGCTATTAGGAGAATAACAAGTACTGAACTGTCAGGCATGTTAGTACACATCTGTAATCCCAGGACTAGGGATGCATAGGAAGGAGGATCAGGAGCTCAAAGTTTTCCTTAGCTACATAAGGCATCAAAGTCAGCATGGGCTACACGAGACTGTCTCAAAAAAATAAATAAATAAAATAAAAACTATGGTGGCGCATGCCTTTGATCCCAGCACTTGGGAGGCAGAGGCAGGCGGAGCTCTGTGAGTTCAGGCCAGCCTTGTCTACACAGTGAGTTCCAGGACAGCTGGGGCTACAGCTACAGGGAGACCCTGTCTCAAAAAAAAAAAAAAAAAAAAAAAAAAAAAGTAATGAACCATTTAAATGGATTAATAACAATAAATAATGCAGAGTGAAAGATGCCAGACCAAATATTTCATGATGATCATTTATGAAAAATGCCAACTAATCTATAAGATAAAGTATGACTATTGAGTGGAAAGAATAGGAAGCAGGAATTAAACCCCCTACCCCTAGCTTTTTTACAGTGCTAGGGACTGAACTAGAACCGTAAATATGCCAGGCAAGTATTCAAACACTGAACTACATCTCCCACAGAAGGTAGGAATTATAAAGAGGTATAAAGAAACTTTGGTGTGATATGCTGTCATCTCAATTATAATGATGGTTCCATTGTATATACATGTCAATATTCATTAAATTTTATGCTTTACATAAATACAATTTATTGACATGCCTTAATAAAACTCAAATTACTAGTCTAGCAAAACCAGATAATAGCATAACTACTTTATCTTGTTGAATATTAGAATGACCTTTTTTCCTTTTTGGGGGGGTCTTTTTGAGACAGGGTCTCCCTGTAGCCCCAGCTGCCTGGAACTTACTATGTAGACCAGGCTGGCCTTGAACTCACAGAAATCTACCTGCCTCTGCCTCCTGAGTGCTGGGATTAAAGGCGTGTGCCACCATGCCTGGCCTAGAATGACCTTTTAACTAACCCAATACCAAAATTGAATATAAGCCCTATTCCTTGTTTTTTTCAAGGACTGGGTCTCTCTGTAGCCTCTAGCTAGCCTGGAACCTGAGACCAAGCTGGTCTCAATCTCACAGAGGTCAACTTGTCTCTGCCTCCCAAGTACTGGGACTGAAGGAGTGTGCCACCAAGCCCAGGTAAGCCCTATTTTAAAGAAATAACATTTAACTTCGAAAAAAAGGACCACAAATGAGACAACAAAATAAGAATATAGCCAAGTGTGGTGGCTCTTAGAGGCCTGTAATCCCAGCACTCAGGAGGCAGAGGCAGGTGGATCTCTGTGAGACCGAGGCCAACCTGGCCTACATAGTAAGTTCCAGGCCAGCTGGGGCTTACACTACCCCGTCTCAGAACGACCAAAATAAATAATAAATAAACAAATAAGAACAATAATCTACATGATCTTTCATAATTACATACAGTATAACATTGTATCATTGAAACCCCAGCCCAGTACCACTTTAACTTTTCCTTTAAAAAAAAAAAAAAAAAAACTTATTTACTTTTATTTTACGTGCATGAGTATTTTGCCTGCCTGTATGTATGTGTATCACATGCCTACCTAGTGCCTGTGGAAGCCAAAAAGAGGGTGTTAGATCCTCTGGAAATGGAGTTATAGCTGTGAGCTACCATGTGGGTGTTGGAAACTGAACCCTGGTCCTCTGCAAGAAAAGCAAATACTCTCAACCTCCAAGTCATCTCTCCAGCCCTTAAAAGTAACTTTTCCTTTTTTGAAGAGAAATTAGTCTAATTTCAAAAAATTAAGTTACTCACAAAACTACAAAAAAAAAAGGAAAAGAAAAGTAAAAGGCCATTTATCAACCTGTATTTGCCAAAGGAAGTCAGGAACATGTGATCTGTTCATCTGTAAGATAGCATTTATTTCTGTTCCAACCATATCAAAATCTAACTTTCTTAGTCAAAAACATTTATTAAAAAAGAAAACCAGGTAGAGCCTGATAGTACACACTTTTAATCTCAGCACTCCAGAGGCACAAGGCAAGCAAATGTTTACGAGTTTGAGGTCAGCCTGGTCTAAACAGCAAGCCAAGTTCCAGGCCAAAGAGAACTTTTTGTCTCAAAAAACAAAAAGAAACAACAGGAAAAGAAAACTGAGTCATTTCTGCTTACTGTATATATCAACTGTGGCCACTGGCGTGTTCCTCAATTTCCCTAAGATTCATTCTGATGAATGACACTCACACTAATGAACAAGTCCCAACAATGTCCACTACACTGACTTGTATTCAGCTTCTTACAGAATGAACCAAATAGTGAAAACATTACTATTAGTGAAGTGTATAATGCTTAGGGCTGCAGAAAAATTCACTATGCAAAAGTGACAATAATGTAATATTTAATGGATACCTTCTTTATGGTATGTCATGGTTGGCTTCAGTTGTCAACTTGACGCACCTGGGAAGGAGCTTCCGATGGGGAAATTCCTCTATCAGACTGAGCTGTGGACATGTCTATGAAGCGTTTTCTTGATTGTTAAGTGATGTGGGAGGGCCCAGCCCACTGTAGGTAGTACCACCCCTAGTAGTTGGTCCTGGATGACATAAGGAAGCTGAGCACAGGCCAGATGAGCAAGCCAGTAAGCAGTTTTCCTTTGTGGTCTGTGCTTCAGTTCCAACCTCCAGGTTCCTACCTAACCTCAGATACGACTGTCACTTGGGATGAGACAAAAATAATATACACATTATCTTAAATCTTGCCAGGGGTGGTGGCGCACCCCTTTAATCCCAGCACTTGGGAGGCAAAGGCAGGTAGATCTTTGAGAGTTCAAGGCCAGCTTGGTCTACATAGTGAGTTCTAGGACAGCTGGAGCTACAAGGAGACCCTGTCTCAAAAAGACAAAAAAAAAAAAAAAAATTTCTAAAGTCATAGTTTAGACAACTAGTTTAAGGAACAAAATATATGTCCAGTCAAGGTTTACCTGAGAACATTTGGTTTTTGCCCAAGCTTTATCTATATAACACATGGTAATTAAAAGTACCAGACTGGTGAAACTATCTTTCTTGGATGTTTAACAGACATACTTTGAGGCCTATACTAATCTGGTCAGAGGGACTTAATTTGCTCCTTGCCTTCCAAGGTCGACTAAGTTCCAGAGGACTATGGAGCATCTCTCAAAATGTCCTGTAACCATGGTAAGTCATCTGTCCTCTTGTTCAGAGAGGCCATGGAGACCCCACGAGATGGACTTGAACCAGTGTCCAGTCTACAAAGAGGAGGGGCAACTCAGAGAAAACATCTCATCCATGCTTCCAAGTGAGGCCAAACATGGTCGAGCAGGACTTTTGACTTATGTTCACATAGATGGAACTGGTAAAAGAAAGGAGCCAGGGGCTCCTTCCAAGCCCACGTGATCCCTGAGGAACAGATCCTCAAACAACCTTAAGAGTAAAAATAAACTGGTTTATTTGAGCTAACTGTATGGTCTTAAACACCCACTATTGTTCTAAAATGATGGCTAAATTTGTTTTCTCCCATCTAGAAACTTTTGAGAGGGAATTGACACTGATTCTAGTCACTCCAACAGCTATCAAAGTGCCTGAAAACAAATCTTGAGTTCATCATTCTCGAGTCCAGCCTTGGCAAGCAAAAGAAAAATGAGGAGAAACACAATAGAGGAATGCTTTTGGAAGCTCTCGTCAAGAAATTCCAATAGATTCTGATATGAACATCTGAAATTTGCCCTGTTCTGACTTTTTTCTGGTTCCCTGTCTAGAATTTGTAATACTAACTACTCTTCCCTTTACTTCTCCCTCACATCTACTAGGCAGGCAGTCAAGGACTTTCTTTCTTCTGTACAGTTAAGAGTTATACAATTTGGGAGTCTTTTAGATAGACCCACTGAAGGGGTACCCAAATTGCCTCACCCTGCATCCTTGTTCGGCATGGAAGAAGTCAAGGTCTGCGTCCCGATTCCCTATCAGCAACTTGGGTAACCTCTTCGGAAGATAGTGCGCTAAGAATAGGAGGTAGGAATTGGTTAGGCAGTTAGGGTAAAAAGACCCCAAA